ATGGGTGGGGGGAAATGGTTTTTCCCCATTTTTTAAAACCCGCAAAAAAAAAAAAAAAAAAAAAAAAAAAAAAAAAAAGATATACATAAAATACTTAACTTATTCTACATCACTGGGTCTTTTGGTTTTATATCTATTTCGTTAACATGCATATCATGTCACTGTACTTAACTTAGTGTTCTTCAAGATCAAAACTACCTGGTCTTATTTAAAGTCTGCATGTGTCAAGTTTCTGATGAAGCCAGATACACATGCATGTTCTCCTTTTCACAATGTAAAACATAGTGACGACCACATGTTCCTCATTTTAGTTAGTTGCATCACTGTTTTCTTAGAACAAAAATGCAATGAAGTACAAGATGTTTTATACAAATAGGAAGTAGCACTTGATCTTCACTCGATGTTGATCTTCTATGAGGGGAAAAAAAACACTGACTTGCCCACAAACACTTGTTCTTGTCAGACTTAGACCTTAACTGATCTCGGTTCAACGTGTTCTGTGCACAGAGACATTGCATAACTCGAGGTCTTCACAAACATATTTGTGTCATATTTACTTTGAAATATATACTTTGAAATATATGTCCTTATAATAAACCATAAAAAACTTATGAAAACAGTAAAAAGTGCAAGTTTTGGAACTTACCTCTGATATTTTTCTCAGCCCCGATGATTCTTCTCTTCCAGCTGCCTTGAGAGCACTTCCCTCTATCAGTCCTCCAGCTTCATCTTCATTTTGTGCATTTTGGTCGGGTTTTCTTTGTAACCCTGACTTCCGATTTGATCCAAATTTTTTCCTCCTCCCTCCAAAGGCTGACTCTGATGTGCCATCACTGGAAGGGCTGGATGAAAGTCCACTTGGATCCCACTGTCGTTTTGTTTCTGCTGCTTGGGTCTGCGAGATTGAAGATTCTTCAGCCTTCTCCTCCTCAACCAGAGCTCTTAGTAAAGACTCACCAAACTGGCTGATTTCCACAGTTTCTTTCTGCTTTTCTTGATAAGTGTTGTCGTCTGTGTGTTCTGCGTGAAGCTGTAGTTCTGTTTCTTTCTTTCCTGAGACGCTTGCCACAGTTACATCTCCAGAAGACAGTACAGTATCTGTGGATTTCTTTTCCGGTTCTACGATTTCCTGTTTGGACCGTGTTCCTAGATTTTTACGAGTGGAGCCCATTTTTCTTCTCCTGTTGGTTGGAGTTAAATCCGGACTTCCAGTCCTCATTCCAGGATTTTGACTCTGAATGCTTTCATTCGTGCTACTTGGCATTTGCTCTTGAACATCTTGGACTTGGCTTACCTCTATGCTCTCAGGACTGAGCTCATCACCTTGTGTACACTCTAAGCTCTCTCCTGGGGTGCCGGTGTTTGAAGACACTGGCTGATTTAATGAGCTGCTGTTTCTCTCTGTATCCTCGGAGCATATTTGGGTCTGACTGTTGGTAAAATCATCTGGTTTTGGTGTTCCTAAAATAAGATCTATGGTGGCAGATTGTTCAGGAGGGAAAGCCAAGCTCATGTTACTGCTTTGTAGCCCATCACCAGTTTCGGTTTCTGGAGTTTCTTGTTGCAATGAAGTTTCTTGTTGTGGTTGCACATCTTTACTTTGTCGCACTTCTTCATTCACCAGTACTTTCCCCACAACCTCTATCTCGCCCAGATTCGTCATCTCAGCTTTTGCGCTAAAGTCGCTTTCTTCTGCCTCGTCTCTCTCATGTCTCTCACCATCTCGTTTTCTGTTCAATGGAGTCCTGCGAGAAGATCCAATCTTCCTCTTCTTCTGTTTTGATGTTTCTTGAGGTTTTTCTCCTTGGCTCTCCAGTGGGTTTACTGTTGCAGAAATTCCCCCTAGGTATGATGCATCCATAGCTGGCTCCTGCAAAGCAGAAACGAACTCATTTGAAGTATTTTTCTGCTTGCTGGCATACATATAGTTCCCTTCCACTTCACCCTTTTTAGGATTTTGCACATCCATTGAGCTTTCCGCCTGTGAACTGCAGACTTCTGTCGTTATAAATCCAGCTGTTTCGATCTGTTTGTTTGTCTCTTTCAAATGGACTTCGAATCCCGTCGGGTCTTTTTCACAAGATAAAGCTTCTGTCTTTCGTCTTTGTAAGGCTTCTTCTTCTTGATCAATGACACAAACACTTTCTGACTTTGGGCTGAAAATGCCGTCATGAAATAAGATACTCTGTATATCTGAGTCACTGCTCAACACAGAGTCTTGGCCTGATTGCATCAAACCCGTTTTGTTTGTGTCATGTCCTGTAAGCTGAGTCGAATCCTCAGCCTCATCAATACGTTTAGCATCTTTTTCTTTTGTTTGTTGGTTTGAGTTTGAATTAAAATCTGACTTTGCAATTGTGCTGTCCTCCAAAACATCATGTGAAAAACCTGTGTTTTCCTCCAGCAGCTTCTCAGTCACAGGTGAGCTAAATGCTGCTAAGTTTTTAGGCCTTATGAAGTTTTCTACTTCTTCTTGTCTTCCAGCTAATATTATTGTTTCATCATCGCCTGTATTTTCTAAAGCTTCGTCTTTGTTTTCTTGGTTTTGCTCATTAACCTGGCTGTGTTTTCTTCCTTTAGTTCTCCGACTTGACCCGAGTTTTCTCCTGTTTCCTGATGCTTTGAAGCCTGGGTGAGCGTCATCTTTGAGGTCTTGATAATTGTCCTGAGGATGAGAGTCCAAAGTAACATCTTTATCTGACTGCATTGTTTCTCTGAGTGTCTTGTCATTTGGAAATGAGATCTGATGCATTTCCTGCGTTTGTCCTGTTTTAATCTGCTCTTTCTCTTCTTTACTTTGAACATCAAGTAAATAATGAGTTTCTGCAGCCCTAGATAAGATGATGTGCCGATGCTCTTCCCCATCAGTATAAAACATCTCTTGTGGCGATGAAACGGCACCTTGCTCAATGCTGTACTCAGCTTGAGCATTTTGCATGTTGCTCCCCTTTTCTGTGGTTCTTTCTGGTGGTTCACTAAGCTGTTCACTCTGTACATTTTTATCTGGCTGCAATATTTCAGTTTTCTCATTCATTGCATTCTTTTCATTTTCACTGAACAAGTTTCTGGAAAATGCCTCAGGATATTCTGTAATATCATCTCTCTCTTTTTCAGCTGCTTCAAGCATCTTTTGGCTCTGTTCAGGCTCGATCTCCTGTTCAAAAGCTTTCTTGAAAGCATCCCCATCCCCACTTTCAGGTTCTGTATGTTCACAGCTTCTGTTTTGTTCTGCATGCAGTTGGGCTGGGGGAGGACCTCCATGTGGTTCAGACAATAATGTGCTTTCCTGTAAGTTTCCATCCTGCAGCTCTCTGAATTCATCATGATCTCTGCTGTGGTGTTTGGGTAGTTCCCTATTTATAATCTGCGTGCAACATGATGTGTCACTATCCTCTTGATCAACAATGGGCGATAGCTGCATGCCTACAGTTGTGCAAATAGAAGTGCTGATATTTGCATCTTTGGTCTGAGAAGAGTCATTTCCCTCAGTTTCATCCAGCACAATTCCCATTAAAGCTTCCTGGCCCTGTGCTACTGTCTCTGTTGTTTTTTCACCAAGTTCATTCATACTTGCATTGAGGTCAACCTCTGTTATAGGTTGACCTACATCGTTTGCCTTAATCCTGCCTTTATTTCTACGACTGGATCCTAGTTTTCTTCTGCCGTAGAAATCCACTTTTGTCTTTTCTTCTACACGCTCAGAGGATTCCAGAGGAGGGGGACCTGGTGAAACGTTTTCTGACTGCAAGTTTGACATAGCAAATTTGTTTTCTTCAATTTGAAGGAAGAGTCCTTCACTGTTCTGATTAACTATATGATCAGTGTTGGGTTGCACATCCTGCTGGATTGTTTCTTCATTTTTCAGACCTGGAGCTGCTGGGATGATTTCTTTTGAAGGGCATGCTTCCTGTAATGACGTAATATCATCAATATTGCTCATGTTGAGCTCAGACTCTTCAGTTTGGTCTGCAAGAGCCCTGGAAATAATGTCAACATTCTCTGCATCACCTGCAAAGATTTTATCTGAATCAGTTTGCACACTGTCTTGAATTTGTGTTGAATGAACTTCTTCATGCACAACATTTTCTGAAACAGCATTTCTGGGCTCTCCATGGAAAACATTTTGTTTTCCGTCATCTGAAGTTAAAACATCAGATTTTCTGTCATCTACATCTTCATGAAGATTTTCATCTGTCAAAGTTAAACTCTGCACATCATCATCAGGATAATTTGTTGGCACAGAGGTGCTCTGATCATGAGAAGAAATAATTGGAGGGATTAAAGACATGGAGCCGCCATGTGAAACAGACAAGATAATTTCATGCTTAGTTTCTTCTCTCTGTTCTTCCTGCTCTACTGTCTTTGTTTCTAATGACATTACAGGCATTTCAAAGGTTTTATCACCACTTGTATTTTCCAAAACTTCCTCTTGAGATTCTTTACCCTGCTGTCTTCCCTTTTTTCTCCGGCTAGACCCCAGCTTTCTTCTGCTCCCACGTAAGCCAGCATCAGTTTGCTCATCTGTGGTCAGAGAATTATCCTGATGTTTGATCTCTTTAGGATTTTGCGTAATACTCTCTACAAGACTCCCACCTTCACCCACCTGACTCAAGGTACTGTTGACTCCAACTGGGTTGCTGATCGATGTTTCCTTTGAATCGAAAAGGTGCTCATCCTTACTTGCCTGATCTAAAACCTCCAAATTTTCTTGTGTTGAGAAACACAGGTTTTGTTGGTCTTCAGCAGATAGAAGTTCCTGTTTGGTATTAGAATAACCATAACTTTTTGTGGTGAGGTCTGACTGGCTGTGGTTGATGATTTCGGCTTGGTCAATCGCATTTCCCAAATCACTCTCTGGATATGTGGGAATATCATGTGCCACAGTTTCAGACGTATAATCCATTTGCAGACATACTTCTACGTCTGCTGGTAAGTTCTCATGTTCCTCAGCTTGTTTTTCAGCATTATCTGAACATCCTGGACCCGTAACTTCACTCTGAAGAGTCTGATCATTACTTTCTTGTACATCAGATTTATCCAATAAAGTGTCTTCTTCTGATTTATGAGATAACTCAACATTACCCGTTTCTGATTCATCTTGATCTTCTGAATGGCTTTCTTGAATTAAACTCTTCGAGACAGTTTCAGAATAGTTGTTTAACATTGAGCTTTGAACATCAGATGAATTGCCAGGAGCAAGCACTGAGCTGTCAGGTGATGAAAGGTCTTGCTTTAGTTCCTCACATGCCATCTTTGTTTCAGATATGTCCAGGGTTTCATCTCCCCATGTATTTTCTTTACCCTCTTCTTCAGACTCTTTAACTTGGTGTCTTCCTTTAATTATTCGTCTGGAACCCAGTTTTCGTCTGTTGCCAGTATTATAAATGCCCCTGTTCAGTTGTTCATCAACATTCTGAGAAAATTCATCAGATCTGGAGTCAATAGAAACCATATCTGTTTGAGCATTTAACCAAGCAGAGCTGTTCTCTTTCATTTCACAGAGTCCTTCCATTTCACGATCAACTACAAAACCGGTGTTAGGTTTTGTATCATCAGATACTCTCCCTTCGAACTCATTCATCTCAGTTGGAGCAGAGTTTGTTTTTTCTAAGTCAGTGATCTGTGGTTTGTTGTCATCAAACACTCCAGAATCTTCATTTTTCACATCCAAGTTCTCTGGGTAATTTTTCTTTACAGAATATGCTTCCTCTTTTGCTGCAGAATCATCAGTTGCTTTCACACTGAGCTCAGACATTCCAGTTTGATCAGTCAGGTTTTCAGAGATAACTTCCTCATTTTCTGAAACATTGCCGACAACAGTTTCAGAATAACATTCAGTTTGAATGCTATCTTGCATCTGTGTTGGGTGAAACTCAATTTTCTCCTCTTCCCTAAGAGCATCCTCTGGTTCAGCATCTCTGGTGTCTTCACTGTAAACAGTGTCAGACTGACCCACCTCTTGTTGCAGAACATTCATTGATTTCTCAATCATTTCAACTTCTGTCTCTGACTTTCTTTCACCTTTGTCTCCAAAATGTTCATTTTTAAGAATTAAAATCTGCTGGTTTGTGTCAGAGTCATTTTTTAACACAGTGCTCTGATTCTCAGAAGAAAGAATGGGTGGTGATACTGAAGACAAGTCTTGTGAAAGAGACAGAATAATTTTATGTTCAATATCTTCACTCAGTTCTTCAAGCTCTGATCCCCTTGTTTCTACTGATATTGTTGAGGTCTGGGGAGTTTCATCGCTTCTGTGACTTTCAAAAACTTCCTGCTTGGATTCTTTAAAACCTGGTCTTCCCTTAGTTCTACGACTAGACCCCAGTTTTCTTCTGTTCCCACTGAAGCTGAAGCCATCATTTGTTTGTTCATTTGTGCTGAGAGAACTGTCCTGAACATTAGAGTTGTGTTCACTACCTTCTTCAAGGGTCCCACCTTCATCCATGTAACCAAGGGTGGTGTTTACTCCAATTGGGCCGCTGACTGATGTTTCCTTTGAATCATACAGGTCGTCGTCCTTACTTGTCTGATTTAAAGCCTCTAGATTTCTTCCTGCTGTGAAACACATGTTTTGTTGGTCTTCAGCAGGTAGTAGTTCCTGGTCTGTACCAGAATCCGCTGTATGTTTCAATGTGAGCTCTGAATGAGTTTCACTGCTGGTTTCAGCTTGGTCAGTCACTCCTTCCAAAGCAGTTTCTGGATATTTAGGAACATCATGTGCCACAGTCTCAGGTGTGTAATCCATTTCCAGATTTCCTTCTATGTTTGATGGCAGATCCTCATTTTCCTGAGCACGTTTTACAGGATTATCTGAATGCTCATCACCAGTGACTTTATTCTGAAGAGCCCTGTCTTTACACTGCAGAAAGTCAGATTTATCCAATAAAGAGTCTTCCTCAGAATTATCAGATAAATGTATTCTATCATGATCACCTGGCTTATTGTTTTGAATTAAGCTCTTCGGGTCAGTCTCAGGATGGTTGTTTCCCATTGAGCTTTGAAATTCAGATGAATGCCCAGGAACAAACATTGAGCTGTGAACACCATGTGTCACAGTTTCAGATGAGGAATCCATTTGCAGACTTCTTTCTATGTCTGTTGGTGTGTCGTCATGTTCATGAGCCTGTATTACAGCATTGTCTGAATGTTCAGGGCTCATCACTTCTTTATTCTGAAGCGTCTTGTCTTTACTCTGCAGAAACTCAGATTGATTTTGGTTCTCTGGACAATTTACAATTCCTTGAATTAAACTGTCCAGCTCAACCTCAGGATGGTTCTTTTGTATTGGGTCTTGAACTTCAGATGAATCACCACAAGCAATGACTGAAAATGAGTTGTCATTAGAAGCCAATAAGGTTGCATCCTGCTCCATGTCTTGTCTTTTTTCTTCATGGCTGATTGTCTTTGTATCTAATGAGATCTGTGTTGTTCTGTGGGTTTCATCTACTTCATCTACTCTGGTCTTTTCATTGACCTCATCTGTAAATTCGTTAACTTGTTGTTTTGGTTTGCCTTTACGCCTGGATCCCAATTTTCGTCTGCTGGCACTACTGGAGAAGTCTGTGTTAATTTGCTCTTCTGTGCTCTCAGACGTTTCCTGAGGCCTGGGAGCCAAAGAAACTGTTTCAATTTGAAAGTTTGACAAAACAGGTTTGTTTTCCTCCATTTCATAGAACATTACTTGCTTCTCCTCGTGAAATGTTTGATCAACTTTGGGTTTTGTGTCATCCTGTACTATTTCTCCACTTTGCAGATCTAGAGTCTCTGAGATAATTTCTTCTGTAGGACATTCTCCCTGTTTTTCTGTAAAATCACCATTACCTTTTACTGTAAGCTGAGACCTTTCATTTTGTTCAGTAAGATTTTCAGGTATAATATCAAATGTTTGATCAATATTAGTTGAAGTTTCAGAAGAATATCCCATTTGAAGATTGTCTTGCATTGTTATTGAATGAACTTCTTCTGGGTGTTCCACCATAATGTCCTCTAAACCAGCATCTTTAGTATCTTCAGGGTGAGCTTTATATTGACTCAATGATAAATCCTCTGATTGTTTACCATCTTGAACCAAAACATTAAAATTTCTTTTGTCTATATCTTCTTGATGATTTTCACATTTCATAATTAAACCTTTCAAGTGTGTGCCGGGCCCTTCTGTTACCTCAGAGGTTTGATCCTCAGAAGAAAGAACATGTGACATGGAGATGCTATGTGACCAAAAGATGTCCTCCTCACTGGCTTTACTTAGTTCTTCCTGCTCAGACGTCTTTACTTTTAACAACACTGGCGATGTATCAATACCAACTTTTTCTCCTCCATTATCTCCTAAAACTTCCTGTTTAGATTCTTTAACATCTTGTCTTCCTTTTTTTCTACGACTAGATCCAAGTTTTCTTCTGTTCCCTTTGAAGCTAAAGTCAGCATCATTTTGCTCATCTGTGGTCAGAGAAGTGTCCTGAAGATTGGTGTCAGTAGGGTTGCGCTCACTACCTTCTACAAGGCTCCCACCTTTATCCATCTGACCAAGATTAGCGCTTACTCCAACTGGATTGTTGATCGAGGTTTCCTTCGAATCGTACAGGTGGCCATCCTTACTTGTCTGATCTAAAGCCTCCACATTTCCTTCTGCTGTGAAACACGTGTTTTGTTGGTCTTCAATAAGCACAAGTTTGTGTTTGGTAGCAGAATCCTCTGTACTTTTCACAGTGAGCTCTGAATGAATATTGCTGGTGACTTTAGCTTGGTCAGCCAAGCCTCCCAAAACTGTTTCTGGATATTTAGAAATATCATGTGCCACAATCTCAGATATGTAATCCAATTCCAGATTTCCTTCTAAGTCTTTTAGTGGGTCCTCATTTTCCTGATCTTGTTTTACCGTATTATCTGAATGTTCACCGTCCATGATTTCTTCATCTCCTGCAACAGCATCTAAATTGTCCTCAAATTCATCCATAGCTCGCTGAGAGACATCCACTGCATTTTCAGTGTCTAACTTGCTTTCATTTTGATTTTTCTGAAAATTCCCACTGTTCACACTTATATCCTCCAAGTCGGTTTCAGAGTATTTTGTTGGCACACAGCTCAGTTCCTCAAAAGATTGATCAAGTGGAGAATTTGGAAACAATGAGTTATCTGAAACTGAAGTGGTAGTCCTGGGTTCACTGTCTTCAGTTAGTTCTTCCTGCATCAACATTGTTTGCTTCTCGTGTATTTCATCATCTCTTGTACTTTCTAAAACTTCCTGTTGAGGTATTTCACCCTGCTGTCTTCCTTTTTCTTTCTGGCTGGACCCCAGTTTTCTTCTGCTCCCACTGAAGCCAGTATCTGTTTGCTCATTTGTGCTCAGTGAATTGGCTTGAAATAGAGGGTTAGAAGGATCGTGTTTGGTATCTTCCACAAAGACTCCAACTTCCTCCACCTGACCAGCAACAGTGTAATCGTTTTGCTGCAGTTGTGGTTCTTGTAGTGCCTCGTGTTGACTTTTTCTCATATCAACACCTGGATCAGTCTGAAGACTCCCTGATTTACTCTTATGAGTGTCAGACTGACGCCCCAAAGTCTCTCCCCATGATTTATCAGATAAATCCATATTGATGTCTGTTTCTGAGTTTTTCTGACTTTCTGGAATATTTACACTTCTTGTAATCAAACTATCTGGATCCTCTAAGGAATGGCCAGGAGCAAAGATTGAAAGAATTGGGCTGTCAGATGACACTGGCAAAATGTCTAGCCTCAGTTCTTCTTGGCTCATAATCTTAGTATCTAAAATCTGTGTGGTTTCTTCATCACTGGTCTTTTCTCTAACCTCTTCTTTAGAGCCTTTATCGTGTTTTCCCCTACTTTTCTGGCCAGACCCCAGTTTCCCTCTGTTGCCACTGCTACAAAAGCCTTTGGTTTGGTCATCTACAATCCCAGAGGTTTCTTGAGGCTGTGAGTCAATCAAAACAGGGTTTTCCTCCCCTATTTCAAAGAATCCTTTCTCCTGGTGATACATTTGGTCTGCAGCAAGTTTTATATCTTTCTCTACTCCTTTTTTAAACTCATAAACCTGAGTAGGAGTAGAGTTTGACTTTTCCAAGTTACTGACTTGTAAAGAATTTGCATCATGTAAATCATAACTCTCATTTTTCTGTTCCACACTATGTGTATATTCAAAGATGTTTTCCTCTGTTTGCTGATCTTGCTGTTTGGCGGTAACATTATCAGTGCTTTCTCCAGCAGAATCAGACATTTCAGGTCGGTCATTTAGGTTTTCAGAAATGTTTTCAAAATGTTCTGTAACATAATCTGGAATAATTTCAGATGAATGTTGAATTTGCAGGATTTCTTGCATTTGAGTTGGATGAAACTCAACTTTCTGCAGATTTGTTGGAACGTCCTCTGAAAGAGAATCTATGGGGTCTTCACCCATTTCAGGTAAAATCTCTGAATTTGTTTTGTCTTGACCTTTTTGAAGACTTTCACATGTTAATGTCAAACTATACGTGTCTGGCTCAGGATATTCAGAAGAAAGATCATGTGGTGATATCAAACAAACTGTGCCTCTATTTGAAAGAGACAAGACTGTGTCAGCAGCAGTGACATCACTCACTTCTTCATGCCCTGTCTCCTGTGTTTCTGACAATACAGTTGGTGTTTCAAGAAATTCATTGCTCAGAGTATTTTCTAAAATGTCCTCCTTAGAGTCTTTAACATGTCTTCCTTTACTTTTACGACTAGATCCAAATTTTCTTTTAGTAGCACCAGAGCTGGAACCTGCTTTGGTATGGTCATCTGTGGTCAGAGAGCTGTTGTGAAGCTGAGGCTCTATAGTAGCCTTAAAGTCTGATGGAAGAGTTTGTATGTTATCCTCCACAAGACTGCCACTCTGATCCATCCGGTCCAAAGAAGTTTCTTCTGTTGCAGTCAAAACATCCTGTTTGTCTGCAGTGCTTTTCACCAGAAACAAACGTTGGCAACTATCGGATTCAGATTTCTGGTTTTCAAAGTAAGAACCGTAATCTTTGTCGTCATACAGTAGATCTTCAGTGGAGTTATGCTTTTCATGCTCGACTTGCTCTTGTGTAAACTTATTTTGATCATACTGATTGTCTTCCATCTCCTGTGAAAGCCTGGCATCTCTGACTTTAGGTGTACAGTGTTTGTCGTCTTTACTTGTAGGCAACTCGTCTGTTTGAAATAAAAATGTTTCTTGTTCAACACCATTGTTAATTTGAATGTTTTCTCTGAAGGCGTTATCTGCAGTAATCTGAGGCGTGATAGATGTATTAACACGTGACTCACATACTGAAAAGTTGCCGTGTAAACGCTCATCTTGTCTGAACAAGCCTGAGTCATCTGTCTTGCTGCTGTTTAATTCAGCCACAGAACACAGATTAAAATCTTCAGCCTGTTTGCCGATCGTCTGTTGATCTGATGCAGAAGCACTTAAACTGGTTAGCTCAGGGAGACGGTCATGCAGATTTTCATTGACTTCCTCACTTTGAAGAGTGTTGCTACTCTCAATGACTTCCAGCTTGGTCTCTTTTTTAAAAGGCTGCATACTGACATCTTTGGAGTCTAAAATGTGTTTGACATCTTCTGGGCATAACATGCCAGTTTTATCCTCAGAGTACTCAGCTGCAGAGGCAGAGACCAAGAAGGCAGCTTGTGGCGCAGTCATGTCACGCTCACTCTCTTGAGCTACTTCTTCCTGCACTTTAGGCTGCTTTGTTACAGACCCATGTGTTTCTGGATGTTCATTACCGCTGGCCTCATACTGAACACCCCCTCTAGATTCAACATCTGGCTGTGTTTCTGCATCATCTACACGCAGAAACTTTCCTTTACCTCTTCGACTCGATGCCAACTTTCTTCTGTTCATTCTGATTTCACGTGTTGCTGGCTGCTGTTTCAGCTTTTAAACTGTCAGTGTTAGAGAACACAGTTATTGATTTGGCATAATTTTCTAGTACCTGATTTGAAGCTACAAACATTCAGTCTTTGACACTCAAAAGATTTTATCTCCTTGATGCCCTGAATTGACTTTTCAAAAAAAAAAAAAAAAAATGTACCTGAAGCAGAAAAGGTTGTGCAACGCATTAAGGAAATCACGCTATACAAGTATATGTGAGCAGGGAATGCTTGTTTCTAGAAAATATACTAGGTGAGGTTCAGAAACTTGACAAATTCAATAAAATATAAACAAAAAGCTTATAGCAAGCACCTGGAGCGCACAAACTGCAGCAACGATAACATGAACAACAAGTCTAGCAAACTGACATTTGGTTAATTTGTGACAATTTAAAAACAAAATTACTTTTCTTACCTCCAAAATCTAGCACATCTGTCGACTCATAAGCTAACTTGTAATGTCAACTCATCTGCTCTGCTCAATAGGAGCAGCACCTCACTCGTCGGGGGAGTGTTTCCTAACTAAGGCTGTTTGACAGCTTCCTGTGTGGGCTACACTTGCAGTCTTAATCATTGACAGTTAACTTCCTGCATGAATAAAATATATTTTTTTCCATTTTCAGTTTAAACTGATTAATTTGGATGAAATTAACACAATGATATATATATATATATATATATATATATATATATATAAAAACTGACTTGTCAGTTTGGAAAAAACATTTATTGAACAAGTTGTTTAACTGCATTGTCACAAATTGAAGTTCAGAGTCAAGATAATCAGAGTAAATACCGTCTTTCGTGACGAACACACAGTAGGTAAAATACAGAATTAGAGACCGTGTTTAAGGGACATCCTCCAAATAACAGCACCAGTATCTGTTAAGTCCCTGCATCTCACAGTGACCCCATGAAAGTAGAAACAACCATGAATAAAACAAAAGTCACAAGAATTTATTTCAACAGTTAAAAATGTCTTCTGCTAAACTAAAGGCAGTATTTAGTTTCAAAACATGCAGGATGAGAGAAATTTTTCCATGTGAATATTTATACCCTCCAAAAAACAAAAGACCTTTAAAAAAAAAAAAAAATTGTCTAGACAGCTGACAAAATGAGAAACATCCCGTCCTTTGTTGTACTTTTAACGGATATAACGAGCCATACGATGGCAAGCAGCACAAGGTGCTTTAAAGTTTCAAACAAAATCTAAGAAAGAAAAGTGGCACTATAAAAACTTTCTTCTTCACAATCTTTGTATGATCTTGCAGAGCAATCCAGGATCTTCACTTCCTTTCGTGAGACCTGGAACGACTGTAAAACGAATCAACCGGTTAACAGTTTGCATTAATAACAAAAAGAAGCTTGGGTTCAATATAAATTTGATGTTTTGACATGGGCTTTACCTCCTTGATCGGGAGAAGGATCGTGAGCGCTTACGATTCTTATCTCTGGACAGAGACCGATATCTGCGTCTGTCTCTTGACAGAGACCTGGAAGTCAAGTAAAAAAAAAAATAAATAAAATAAAAAATGTAATTCACCACAGATAAGTACAGCAATTTGAAATGCAATGACTCTTAATCTTACCTGCTACGACTGCGGCTCAGGCTCCTCCTCCTCGGTGATCTAAGGTGTGCATTGTTAAAAATATTGAAACCAAGTTAGGGAAAAGTAACTATGTTTCATGTCAATAATGACATGAAACGGGGAGCCATTACCTGAGGGTAATGGCTCCCCGAGAGCCATGGCATAAATGGAAATGTGATTACGCGTTACTCTTCATCTGTTAAGAAGATAAGCTGCATTCTTGAACTGCAGCAAGGCCAGCTCATTCAATTGACAATTTGTTCAAAGAGCACCAATCACGGAGTCAGATTCAGGGCTCGAAATAAAGGCTTGCTTTTGGTAAAGAAGTTTGGACTTCCTGATTGTAATATTAATGTCTATTAAAGGTTGTGAGGCTGAAACGAATAAAATCTCAAGTGTAAAAGACTTCAGAGTTTAGCACAGCAGATCCAACCCAAGATGCCTTGATGTCGAGCCTTTAATATAAACCCAGCAATTTTTGCAAGAGAAAGTTGGAAGACTTTTGGTCCAGCCAGTTGCGCTTTAAGCTTTCCACCGAGTTTCCTCTACAGAATACAACTCATGAAACATAATTGTCAACCAGTTTTAAAAGCTAGATTAAAAAGAATTTATAAGAAAAAAAAAACAAACAAAAAAAAACTATAAAGAGCAGGATAAAAGCAACTTACTATTTTGGGGGGTTTGGACAAGATAGAAATGAAGCAAGGAAGCCAGACTGATGGTGAGGGAGGTCGAATTGCAGACAGGAATTGCCACATGATGCAAATGTTGCAGATATGAAGTTGCTTGGTGGCTGGTTGGAAGGGGGCGGGGAGTAGTTGTAGATTTTTCCTGCTTTATTTTGAGGGGGAGTGGGGTTGAAGATTAGAGACTGATGTAACCCAACGGCTGTTCCCGTTGATACAGCAGATGTGTGGAGACTAGAAAGTGTAAAGACGCCGATTGGTTGATAATTTGAAGTGGACCACTGTTGATTGGATAAAGGTCGGAGGAAGTAGAGAAGGATGCTGGGAACTGCATGCTCAGGAACCAAAAGGTTGGTGGGACCTGATGACTGGCGGTGGCGCCTGGGTCATGTGACAACACCAGGCTCGCTGGTCAGCCGTCACATGATGCTGAAAGAAGACTAGTTGCCTGACTCAGATGGTGAGAAGCGTGGTGGTGACTCTGCAATGGGGTTCAGTTTTATTAATAAATGGAAACTGAACTCAGAAAAAGTAAAAGAAATTACACCTTTAGAAACTTATTTTAAAATTATGGATTAAAAAAAAAAAAAAAAGTTTGATAAAGTAATGAAACACCCCATACAGTACAAATGGTCTACCAGACACCTAAATAATACTTACTGAACTTCAATGCAAATTGTCCACTCATAAAAATTGCTTTCAAATTTTAATTTTTGAGCAAAAGCGATTCAATAAATCTGTAACCATGGCCATGATCACCAAACATTTAAAAGTGAAAACATGAGTGATCAAAGTGTTGAGAAGTCAAAATGTGTTTCTGTTGAGTAACCAAATCAGAAGAGGTCGCTCTGCTGAATATCTGCTGATATTCTGGTTGCTCTGTTGCAACCAGAGGAGGTTGCAACTGAGCAACCTCGGGTATTTAATCTGTGGAAAGATTAAATACCTTTCCACATCTAGTTACAGCACCTTGCAAAAGTATTCACATACTCTAACTCTGCTGGTGAAGATTCTCAGTCATGACATGACCATCCTAAGTACTTAAGAAAAAGCAACGGGACTTCTGGTGTTTCCTGGAGACATTTCACCTTTCACCCAAAAAGATTCTTCAGTTTTGAATACGACTGGAAGCAGGAGGCACAGAAGTTGTAGTCAGAGCGACAAACGCTTCTAAACCTGTTGGAAGAAATGTATAACAAATCCAGTTTGTAGTTTGAGTCAAATGGTCTTGTTTGACATAACCATTTTGGAGAAGGTGCTCCGGTCAGACTATATTAAAACTGAACTTTATGACCTGCAGCGTGGTGAAAGGCCAACACATCAAAACCAAGGTGGTGGCAGGAATTTAGATTTGAGTCAAAAGCAAAGACCTAAATTCAATTGGGTATGAAGACTTGGAAATTTCTTTCCACAAAAAGATCTGCATCTGCAATCTGACTGAACTGCAGCCATTCCCACAAATCTGTAGAAAGCCACTACATACCCTAAAAATAAAAACCCAACCTCCCACATCCCCCAAACAAGAACAAAAAAAACAACAACCGTGGACTGTTGCATTAATGTGAAAACAGTTCAACAGGTTTGAGTACTTTTGCAAGGCACTGCATACACAGACAGGTCTTTATCTAATCATATTAGATAAAGACCTGTTTCCATACAGCCTCTAAGGAAAGAGGCTCAACCTGCATTAGACAGCTGAAGTGAACAACACAGAACAGACCCTCTTCTTCAGAGCCAATCTGGATTCAAACCACTTTGTAGGTTTTATAACACTTTTAAATGAAATAACAAAAATACTTGTGAAAATGACCACAGATTTATGATTTGATACAAATTACCATATAGAGCCTTTATGCTCATAGAAATGCTAGGACTTGTTTTGTGTTAATAATGTGATCTTGAGAACTAAGTTGTTTTTTTTTCTCTCCCTTTTTTAAAGAATTAACCTTCAGGTAAGCCACGTTTTATGGGATAACTGTTTCCAAAACAAAGATTTATGAGTTTTAAACTGGTTCTGCCAAAGGAATTGAGGTGAGCCAAGTTTATGTTTAAGATGTGCAAGTGAAAAGAAAAAAAAAGGGTTTAAATTAAAATGCATACCTGCGTCTGACTGGAGGACTACGTCGCCTAAAATCATCTCGCGGACGTCTGCTCCACGAAGGAGGAGGGCCGCGGCTCCTCGAGCGCTTCTCCCCGGTCGACAGCTCAACACGCACACGGCAGCCACACATGGTTCTACACAGAATGAGTTACACACACATTTCTTTATCCATTTAAATCCAGGAGATTCTTGACTGGAAATTATATTGGTTAAAAATTATGTTTGGCAATATTTGTCTTGCCATAATCATGGTAGATACATTTCCTGTTTGCATAATTCATGGATAGAAATGGAGTTAGGGGTAAGGGTTCAATATTCAAACCAGGTCAGAAAATTGTTGGTGTTTGACTAACACTTTTGGCTTCATGTTTTCCCCACAGGGGTTAGCATTCACAACACTGGACATTACCTGCCATCCAGTTCTCTTACAGCATCAGATGCATCTCTAGGATCTTCAAACTCTACAAAAGCAAAACCTGGAGGATTCCTGGCCACCCAAACACTTCTTAAAGGGCCGTAATACCCAAAAGCTCGTTCTAATTCTGTCTTATTCCCATTGTTTCCTAGGTTTCCCACATAAACCTTGCAGTCAAGAGGACAGTCTCGATGAAAAGCAGGATCTGAAAGAAACAGAGAAAATATAATTGAACAAAGTCTGTTTCATCTTTAGGATTTAATTTGATGGAAGAATTCAAATACTGAAACAGGAGTGTTTTATTATTTGATGTCAAAAGGCAGATGTATAATTAGTAACTAGGTTTAGTGTGGGTGTGTCACACTCAAGCACGAAACGTCTCAAAAGTAAGACGCAAAAGTAAAATCACAATGCTAGATCACAACGGAGATAAAACAAAAAAAATGCCTTTATCTATTCTGAAAACATATTATTGACATTATAGCAGAAGTTTCACAAATTTTGTTACAATTTCAATGATTATTTTTTCTTCCTTGCAATACAAACCAACTTACATGAGTTAGAAATTCTGCCAAAACTATTTTTATAATTTTCCACATTAAAACAAACAGTTGAAAAAGGTGGGTTATATTAAAATGATACCCTGTTAACAGCAAGACTGCTTAAATTTAAAGATAACACGCCAAAGATTTTTATTTTCCAGGAAAAAAAAGATTATT